CAGTTTGATTTCTTACCATTTTATGAGTCGTGTTACGGCAAAATGTAAAGGGGCTTTTGAGATCTTTGCAAATGTTCATTTGTCCCCTTGTCGGCGAGTACATTCATGGTATTGTATGTGTACACAGAGGTGCTTCATGGCGTAAGCAATAGGAATGGGGAGAACAGCATGAGCTGGAATTCTTCCTTCAATCATACATCAAGAACTTGACTTATCACTCCCGTAGCAATCTCATGAAGAGATTTCTGGTGTCACGGAAGGTTACCATGCACCGATGCAGCCTGCCTGGATCACAGTCAGGCCATCCGGCGGTAGTTGATATGCATGATCTGTTGAAAAGGCTGTCTGTCACACGGGACTACATTAGTAGGAAGACTTAATGTGGTATTGACCGGCAACCTCTGGCCGACGCCGGACTGGTGTCTTGAGAATGGTTGTTAAGCCAATTCGGGAGAAAATGCTGCCCGGCGATAGGTGGCCGATACGGTAATATTACCTGCTGTTAGCGCTATTCGACCCACATCCCCCGGACACAGCCCCTGAAAGTAGGTCTGGTAAGGTGAAGCCATGGTTGGTCGTTCGAGGAGTTGGTCTACGTGAACTTGGTCTCTTTCAGAGTATATATCATCGGAGGTACTTTAATTCCCCTACCTCGCAGACCTCCTCACATTACAACAGTCTCACCTCTCACCATGTCCCCGTCCACTGACATCGTCCCCATCTCTGTTGACCTGGGCGCCGACAGTATTGGTGTTGGTTCGAAGCACAACGCCGCCAATGGAGTGTCTGAATACAGTAGCTCGACTGATTCATGCAACCCCTCGAGCATAGAGGACAAGAAATCTGTCGTTTCAAGCGTCGCATCTCCTGACCGCGGCCATAGTGAAAAACATTGGATTCCATTGGCCAATCATGTACTCTGGGAGCCACAGAAGAAAGTCAAAGTCATCACCATTGGGTGTGGCTTCAGCGGTTTGACTTTGGCGCACAAGATTCAACACAAGTACAAGTTGGATGACAGAATCGAACACGTTATTTATGAAAAGAACAGCGACGTAGGCGGTACATGGTTTGAAGTAAGCTAGACCCTCTGCCACCTCGAATTTTCATTCCACAAAACTGACTTCAAGGCTCAAGAATCGATATCCCGGTGTGATGTGCGATGTTCCAGCCCACATCTACACCCTTCTTAGTATTCCATATACAGAATGGCCAGCATTTTACGCCACGGGGGGCGAAATCCAAACGTATCTGACAAAAATAACGAAGGAATACCATCTCGATCGGGATGTGGTCTATAATTCCAAGGTTACCTCTGCAATTTGGAATGAGGAGGAGGGCCTCTGGCACGTGGACATCCAGCAAGGCAACAATGTCATTAAAGATTCCTGCCAAATTCTGATTAATGGGTCGGGTGTCCTCAATGCGTGGTCATGGCCCGATATCAACGGCCTTTTCACCTTCAAAGGCCACCTTTCGCACTCAGCTGACTACCAGGATTGGGCCAAGAATACGAGCTTCGACGGAAAACGTGTTGCAGTCATCGGTAATGGGTCTTCTGCAATTCAAATTGTGCCGGAGCTTGCAAAGATCGCTTCTCACGTGACGAATATCGTTCGATCGCCGACATGGATTTCGGCTCCGTTCGTAGAAGACCTTTCTGGAGCCCCTGGTACAAACCCTGCATACACAGAAGAACAGAAGGAAGCTTTCCGAAACGATCCTCAAGCTCACCTTGAATACCGGCATAGCCTGGCACATGCTTTCAATCATTTCTATGAGGCCCTTATTGAGGGCTCGCCTGCAAACGAGCTGGCCAGGAATCGCACGATGGCTCTTATGGAAGAGCGGCTCAAAGGATTCCCCGAGATTGCAAAGCAAGTCATTCCTGATTGGAGTCTCGGATGCCGGCGATTGACCCCAGGCAATGGATATTTGGAGACACTGTGTTCTGAAAACGCTGATCTCCTCGTTGGACATATTGACGAGATCACAGAGACTGGCATTCGCTTGAAGGACGGGACTGTGCGAGAGTTTGACGCTATCGTTTGCGCGTAAGTCTCTTCAATTACTCCCAACCCTGTTTCGCGCAACTGCTCATTGCTCTGGTAGGACTGGTTTCGACGTATCATTCAAGCCGAGATGGATTCAGCACGGCCGCGGCGGTCGCGACCTCGCCCACGATTGGGAAACTGACGCTCAAGGCTACTTCTCGCTTTGTGCCAGTGGGCAGCCGAACTACTTCATCTTCAATGGCCCGTCCGGACCAGTAGGCCACGGTAGTCTGTCATCGGCTATTGACTGGGAGGCAGAGTATATGATAAAATGGATAAACAAGGTTGCGCAGGAGGATATCAAGTAATTGTCTAGCTCCCTTTTGCTGGCCGTGGTGATTAACATGGAATCAGGTCCTTTGACGTTAAGCAAGAGGTCCAAGATGAATGGAATATATACGGCGATGAGGTCTTGAAGCGAACCGTCTGGAATAGCGGTTGCAAAAGCTGGTACAAGAACGACACAGGGCGGATCTTTGCCCTATATCCCGGCTCCATTCTACATTTCAAAGATCTAATCGAGAATATCCGCGGCGAGGACTTTCATATCACGTATCTGAATAAGAAGGTATGTGGCACGAAATAAACTCCCTGTTCAACAAGCTAATATTATAATTGTAGAATCGTTGGTCATTCTGTGGAAATGGATTCACACAGTTAGAAGTTGATGGTGGGGATTTGGCATACTATCTCAGATAGTGACGAGATAGATTTTCAGGGAAGAATTTCTATTTGTGTTTTAGACAGTGAGTGCTTGAACTATATACTTACAAGACTTTAAGTTTAAGAGGGGTGACAGAAATATATATATATATTATATATGCCCCGAACTGTGCTTTGTCCCTTGCAGTTTTCGTTCAGGAAAGGGAGCGCGGCCGCTTTACTCGGGCACGTGACGGATGCCCGGCCGAGCACGGGAGAGCGTCGCGGGAGCCACGGCAGAGTACGGGGGAGCGCGCCCGAGCACTGGACGAGCTGTAGGGAGCGCTGCCTGATGACCCATCCTCAGAAGCCAGTTCGGGCTCAGGGGCCCCCTTTGGGCCTCGACTATGAGCCTACACTACTATACTCAGCGGCGAATCTTGACCTCTTTAAAGTCCATTTCCGTATCTTAAATCTGAGCATCTCGCTATTTGACTCGTGTCGTGATTGAGCCATTCTGAGCTGTGGCTGTGTAATTCTGAGCTCGGCTTGGCTAGCACCATGAGCACAACCCCGAGTCTCTAAAGATTCCCACAAATTAGGCCCCTGGGTTTCCCAGTTTTTGGTGTTTCGCGTATTCGGAAGCCCCAAGTCCCGGGCTCACTCTCGGTTATTGTTGCCAGAGTGCCTTCATGGCCACCTTTCGGGCCACGCGGCTGCCTGGAGGAGGCACCCTCCAATCAATCTACGATGTTGATTTATCGATAGCACTCTGTAGAAGTTTAATATATTGATAAGACAGCAGTTCAATTACTGATACTGTACCTTCCTTAGTAACCGTAATCGCATATAAACTGCCTCCATCGGCATGAATAGTGCTCTGTGGGAAACTGGACCGAGGACGTAAACCATCAAATCAACTGCATTGGAGCGGTCCATCCATGACTTAAACGCACGTCCGGAGGAGCTGTCGGGAGATGATTTTCATCGCTGAAGTCGGATTCCCACGGCGTGCTGGCAACCGGGCATCCGTCATGCCTTGGTTGTTAGGCGTTTCTGGCGGCAGGGTCATACTTAGTTGGACATGGTACAGAAATTGGGGCGGGTAAGGCAGACTTATGAGGGCAGGACACTGAACAGCAATTGTCCTTTCGCTGCCAGGATGGAGGCTGTGTGGGAGAACGTTGGAATGGGGTGAACGGTACTGACCTTGTGGAAATTGATTGGCCGACCTCGTAACAGCGTGCACTTGCGGCCAATCGACATGGAACCGGTAGGAGCTGTGGGGCTATGCAGACGTTTGTCCTTGACAGAGAGCCAACGAAATTGGATAGGATGGCTGGCATGTGGGATTTTTTTGGCTAGGTAAGAGCATAGGGGCCATTCACTACTGATTAGGAGTTGAAGAGCATGGAGGGACGAGCTGAAGGGTCTGCCAGGATATGGGATGTACAAAGAGGATGGGTACCTGGTAAACCTTCACTCCTTCCCGTAGGCAACAGCGACGCAAAGGCCCCAGCGGTCTTTACCATCGGCCAGCGAAAATCTTTCGATCTTCAGGTCATTTGAGTACCTGAGCAGCATGTAGCACCGATTCGCCTAGTCTCATCGAAGGGAAGAAGATGCCGTGCGATGTTCTTAGCAAGGACGAGCTAATGAGTTCGTCACCGGGTTGCTTTCGCGAAATCAGTTCCTAGCAATATTGCTTGAACTTGGACTTCCTCGCGGAGCGACATTCACTATCGGCGTCATGTGCTAGCGGTGATGGTTCCGAAATTTTCAGCCAGTCAAAATGCTAACAAACATGAGTTTGAGCAAGGGTAGGAGAGTTCCTTGAGTAGAAGGTACTCAAGGTTGTGCGTTAAGAAAGCGGGATCCGTTGAACAGTGTTCTGGCCCAAAAAAGCCCTGGTATGTTGGCTGGTCTACGAGGATCATCATAGGGAAAGTAGCTAATGGTGCTGAGGAAGAGCATTCAGTGCATGGACATGTACTCTCCGATTGCATGGAGTGGTAAGAACATGGCTGGTAGTATGGATTGAGTGTGTATGGCTGTCATGCCGCCGCATTGGCTGTACCAAATCTGATGGAATGGACCTTTGTTCCCTTATCGTGAGCGCCCACACGTGGGAAAAGGGCTTCAAGGCAACCAGAGAAGTTTGGTAGGTTTAGCGTGCATCGTGTGGGTTGCCAAGAAACCCTGTGGCCCAACCGTCCGCCTTTCAGGTGATGTCACATGTTACCTAGTCTGGGCGCTTAAGTTCCGACCGCGACTGCACTTCGCTGGCAACTACATGAAGCCGCCCATTCCTTCACCCTCATTTCGAGCAACCATGGCACGACGAGACAGTGTAACCGCTCAGAAGACCAGAAGGCAGTCCGTGAAGCTGCCACATGAAGGCCATTTATCCGCTTCCTCCTTCAGTACTCGACTCACCAGCAAAGGAGAACGCCCTCAAGGCATCAAGAAGGGACAAAAGCAAAACCCTCCTCGACGGAGCACCCGTTTGGACCGCTTGGTTGACGGGACTCAAGTAAAAGGCAGGGAGCAGCCTCTGCCATCTCCAGTCAGCGACATTAAAAGTCCTAATGTAAGTCGCCAACGTTATTCTGTGACGGAAGACTGACCCAATAAAGAGTGCGCACACACCTCGTAACCCTCTACCATCGAAGCCTCCGAAGCGGAAACGGGAAACTGAACAGCAACTAAACCCGCCCTCTCCAAAACGACCGCGAACATCTTGTCCTAGCCCCTCTGTTCAGGACGTAGATTCTGTTACATATTGGACGGAGACATACCACTGGCCGCCAGGATACTTCAATGAAAGTGGAGAAATGAGTCACTTGTTGGCGAGAAAGAAATCTACCACCTCACTTCGCCGAAAGCGGTCGGATAGCGAGTCTGGCGCACCCAGCTCAACTACACCGAGTGACCAAAAGTCAAGGGAGGAGAAGAGTGCTCCTTATCGAGACCCACGTTACAGGGTCCTACTCGAGGCTATGGGAAGCTATATGGACAAGTCCGATCTAGACATCACCAAAGAAGGCAAAGCTCTCTGTCGGAACTTGTTGGCGAAGAAGCAAACGACCCCCAAGGATTCTATATTCTCCGATGACGTGTTTGAGAAAGCCTGCAGAAAGTTCCAAGACAGAAATGAGGCAAGGGTGATCCAGGATATATCTCGACTAATCGTCCCATCTACGGAAACGCTGGCTACATTCGGTGCCCAACATCTCGATAAACTGACTGAGAGCGTCAATGAGGGTTGGAACAGTTCAATTCCTGTTACCAAAACACGACCTCAACCAGACTACTCTGTGGGTTTCAAACGTTCTGCATTTACGGACGACCAGCTCAAGAAACTTCAGCCATTCGTTGGCGACCTCACCGACAACTCCTTCTTCATGGGTACGTGGTATATGTACTTCCCCTTCTTCTCGAGCGAAGTGAAGTGCGGTGCCGCCGCACTCGATGTGGCAGATCGACAGAACGCGCACAGCATGACGCTCGCTGTTCGAGGAGTCGTGGAACTGTTCCGGCTCGTGAAGCGCGAGAAAGAGCTTCATCGGGAGATCCTCGCCTTTTCCATCTCGCACGATCACCGATCAGTGAGGATTTATGGCCATTATCCCGTAATCGAGGGCAAAAAGACTACGTTCTACCGTCATCCCATTCGTACTTTCGACTTTACTGAATTGGATGGTAAAGAGAAATGGACGGCGTACAAGTTTACCAAGAGTGTCTATGATACCTGGATACCTGCTCATTTCAAAAAGCTTTGCTCGGCAATCGATGCAATACCACCCGATATACATTTTGAAGTCTCGGAAGAATCTGAACTACAATTCCCCTCATCATCTGGACTTTCACAAGGACTGGAAAGCCACCACCTCTCGGACTCAGGAGCAACAAGTGACGACGAGCTGAGGCTCCTCGATCCTCAGGAAGTGACACCAGAAACTTCTGTTACTCAACCATCAGAACAAGCGACATTCAAGAAACCAAAGAAGAGATGAGACTCGGTATTCACATGGCTAGAGAACTTCTGGAGATAGAAAGGTCGGATTGAGGCAAAATCATTTCGACGATGTTACTGTCTCACAATCTGCTATTATCATGGTGTTCGGGAACAAGTTTGGTCCGAATGGAGAGTCACTCGTACACAGGAGAAAGAAATTCTGGATATGATTTATTTGTGAATAGTTTATGCGAATTACTTCGCTGGGGTGATACGTCCTTTCGGACATGCCTCCTGAACGTTATCTCTCCCCCTTCAAACAGGTTGATATCGTGATTGTATTCTCTTGTCTACAGTAGGCTTCGTGTTGCAGCCTGGAGAAAGTGTGAGAGAAGGGAGAAATCCAAAAACCATAAAAGTAGTAAGTTAGATCAGGCTTTTCCAAACCCGTTTGATTCTCTGAGTACCGCCCTCCCTTACCCGGTTGTGTCAAGGGCTCCTTTCCCCTGTTCGTTGTCTCCTCCAGCACTCTTTCCCTCAAATGTTCTTGGGAACTTTGCTCTATGTGCTAGCTCATCCGGCCCATTCACAATACAAATTATCCATGTCGACAATATTGTCATCCCTTATTGTATAGGTAAGTTCACGGCCTGCCGGTTTCGAGCAAGGGGTGGATGTCGAGACGAAAGCTTTGAGGAATTGAATACTTCCAGACAATCTGTATACACTCTCGACTTTGCCAAGGAGCGCGGTCTTTCCTTCAAAGCTTCGCTGTCCTAAGAGCCGCTCTACATCCGGCATTTGTTGAAGGTACTGGTTTAGAGAAGTTACGGAGTCTTGCACGAGATGACTTTCGTATACTTCACTCAACGCTGCGTGTGCCTTACATCTGAGAAGGAGCAATTCTCGGATAATCGACGGCTAGGCAAACTTAGCTCTGGTATCAGAGAGTTTAGATGCCACTCACCACATCCAGTTTGATCATGATATTCAGTAGCCCAATATAGTCAGTAGTGACTTTCAGGTGCCTGTAAAACACGTGGAGCACAAAGTCTTTCTCGCCTCTGCTTATCAGGCCGACTTTAAGCTGAACATAAGGGTTGTCAGCTTCTTGAGGTCGGAAGATTTTGAAAGTACCGGCATCGTCTTCACCAACTCTCAGCCAATCCATTGGTGGTGTGAGAACATCCTCTCCGCACTGTATGAAAGTAAAATTGTCTCGGTTTGAGAATTGCCGACTGTATTCTTCCTGAACAATGCGTCTCATCCGGGGAGCATTGGTAGCGCAAAAGTCTCCAAGTATCTTGAGATCAAATATTGTTTCTGCAGTGCCAATATACGAGAATGCAACTGTATCTGAGTCGTCTGTTGACATTCTGATTCGAGTTGCTTCTTGTGGATATCCGAAACTCCAGTTTTTTGTAGAGGGGGAAAATGAAAATTTTACACAATGAACATAGTACCGCATCTCCCTGGTTCAGAGGATTTTATTTCCATCTGACAGTTTTATGATACAGGAATTTTGGATTTCACAGACAAAGCAGCAGAATTTTGGCACGAAAGACTAGGTGTGATTGATACAATGCGGTAGAGACTTACTCGAATGCCGCCCGAATAAAATCCTACGCTCAGCGGCAAGTTACATCTACTTTGCCGCAACTCAACTCAATTTGCTGCAAGCCTTAACGTATCCAGCGAGAGACCCCCACCAACGAAAGGCGTAGATGTCTGATGAAAATGGATGGAAAATATAGTGACATATAAAGCTTCGTTGAGGTCCTCGGGTCGGAGTGTTGTACCCTTACCTTCAGTCGGCTACCAGAGAATGCTCGAAGCAGCCTTTTTTCGCCGCTGGATGACGACATGTCAAGGGGCAAACTCCAAAGGTTCGTTGGAATTTCAAGGTTAGGGCCACTAGACCACCATTGTCTATGGGTGCTCTGGGCAACGCACAGGGGACTTTAGCGAGTGTATTCTGACCACTGTTCCGCGGTGCCTGTACAATTTACGAACCGAATGCTTTCGATTCAGTGGCATATGAATTGATCTGTTCATTTGCCCGGATTAAAAACTAAATTAAGTCTTTCGCCATGAAGGTTGGAGCCTGAATGATCTCTAGCGGGAAGCAAAAGCCAGATCAGCTCGGTTTCACATGGCCAATAGATCAAGCGAACACTACTTACATTAAGCATCAAGCTCAACATTCTGTGCCACTGTCGAAGGGAGGAATTGCTCCACAGAGGCTAGATCATTGAAGGACTCCTTCAACACAAGATGACTTAGAGAGACGTCGATGCTATTGTCATCGGTTTCTTTGTATTCATAGTTTGGTTTTACTAAATCGGGCTTAGAGTTCGTGGCTGATAGCATTCAGGTTTCACTTACTTGTTTCCTCCAGTACGGACTTCAATCTCTGGGGGACCCGACCAGCAAAACGTATACACGTTACCAACATGTTGGAGAAATGCATATTCCTCTCTATCAACCTCTCAGGAGACTCAGGGTGTCTCCAAACATAGCGCTTATAGAATTTAGTGGAGTCCAGCAAAGGCTGCATAATAACTTACTTCTTGAGGGTGATACTTCCAATATAGTAGCCTCCAACTATCCTTCTCGAGCACATGCAGAAGCACAATCGTGGTCAAACAGACAATATCCCAGGAGTAAGTCGATCGTTTCAAAATTGCTTCCTGAAGATCCTTCAATACTCTCTTCTCATTTTTGAAAATAAAAGCCTCAAGGTTGCTGTCCAATTGATTTTGCATCACGCGAGGAGCTGGTATTCTGTGATGAAAAGGTGAATTGCCTTTGTCGATGGGGGTCATGCCCAATGATTCTTCACCGGTCAGTTCCCAACCTTTCATTAGGAGGCGGTTTGCAGTCCATAGTTGTAATGTTCGAGCTAGAAGGTCAGCCTGCCGAATATCAGCTGAGTATCCTCTGGACTAAGAGCGTGCTGACCTCAGAATCCATCTCCACTTTTTGTTTGGCAAGTATCTGTCCAAGATAGCTTTGGCTTTCTGTATGTGAGAGGTAGTATGATAGATGTTGATTGATATAATCTGTCAGATCTACCTCGCACGTTTTCAGTCCAAATGTCGTTGTCTCTGCACAATCCCAGCCATCTTTCTCCTTCCAATAGACGAGCATCTCATCTGGAGAAGATCCGCAAAATTCATATGCATCAACCGTGACTGTGGGGCCGTTTTCTTCATGTCGAAGTGTAGCAAGTCTTGTAGATGGTTTCCAGTGAAGATGCAACCATTTAAGCCTTACGCTGTAGGTTGTATCCTTCCCTGTTCAGTTTCAGTATTAAACCACCTTCATAGGCAAGAACTCACATTTATGGAATACGGGGCAATTCGCCAGTCTCGTTCGTATGCAGATTTCCTGAGGGATTTTTGCGGCCACGCAAGTTTTGCAATGGCCACCGACATTGTCGCACTAGACGGGCATAAGCACCTGTATATTAAAAAAAAGAGGAAGGAGTAAGCAGTACTGATCGTTTAGAAATCCAACATTTGATGCACTGCTTGGTTGATTTTTGTCTCTTGTGACCAATCGCACTTTCTGCAGCGTCTTGGGCGGAATTGAGCTTCTTATGTAGAGTGGTTGCAGAAGGTGTCACATAGCTTATTTGGGCTTGGTCAAAATGCTGATACACTGTTTGTTGCCTTCCATAGGTAAACGTTCACCCCAGGACGATATCTGTGGTAAAGGGGTCTGAGTAGGCAGCTGCTCGGCCAGGATTGAGGCATCCCCAGGTAAGATATCCAGGTTGTCCGAAACAGGTTGAACTTCCGGTACGTAGGCCACCTCCATATTGTATCCACCAACAAGTATATCGTCATCGAATAGTCCAATGTTTGAACCTCCAGAGATAAAGTTTTCATCTGTGTTTGGTTGAGGGTTGTAGCCATTGCCGATGGATGCATATCCTGCGTCTGCACCAATCATTCTGTCGAGGAGCCACCCATCTGTGGGACGTCCATCCAAATCCAGTGGCTGGCTCTGAGGGAATACTTGGTGGCTGATACCGTTGTGTCTCTCGAGCTCTGCATCATGTTCTACTGCGGCAAGGATGCCCCAAAGCGCGTGGAAAGCTTGTTCACTAATGTCATATCGCTGTTGCCACTTCCGAAAAAGTGTATCCGTCCTGGTAGACATTACACTATTGAGTATGGTGGAGTTGACGTCAAAATTGTGATTTTTCCTGTGACTTGCTGAGGAGAATTTGGTCATGAGAATAGTTGGAGGGATATAGGGCGGGGACCGCAAATATATGTGGCGGGCCGCACCGAATCGGAACGATATTCCCCCGTCGCGCCAAGAGAGCATGAGAAGATTGCGCAGGCATGTTTCTCCGCTTGTTTTGTTTGACCTGACATCTTTATCTAACGACCCTGTCTGAATCCACGAGAGATTCACCAGTGATGGAGTCAACCTCGCCGTTTGCATTCCTTCGAGTCCTCGAGGCTTTGAAGAATATCCAGCGTAAGGGTTGGGCAAAGCGGGGAATTCAGTCCCCAGAAAGCGTGAGTGATCACATGTATCGTATGGCTGTGATGGTTTGGATGATTCCCAAGGTACGTTCACAGAGGACAATTCACAAAAAGCCCTACTGCCAACTACTAGATTGACAATGAAACTCGAATGCGAGCGGTCAAGATGGCATTGGCCCATGATATGGGCGAAGCGATTGTTGGAGATATCACTCCGTCAGATGGCGTTCCAAGAGGTATTGTCTGTTATTCCTTATCAGTCTTGAATCGCTTGCTGATGTTTTCATAGACGAGAAGCTGCTCAAAGAACGCCTCGCCCTTGCCTACCTTGCATGCCTCATCAGACCGGTGAATCCATCTTTTGCCGATGAAATAGAGGAACTTTGGTCAGAGTTTGAAGCTGGTGATAGCAAAGCAGCGCAGTTGGTCCGCAGTGTCGATGCTCTAGAGTGTATGCATCAGGCTGTTGTATATGAAGAACGCTCGCAACTGGTGAAGGACCTTGGCGAATTCATGGAACTGGAGACAAAAGTTAGTGCGCCAGAGCTCAGAGACTGGGTTAAGTGTTTACAGCAAGAGAGGGACACACTGTGGTCTTCCAAAGTGACACAGGATCTGACCTTCTTGTTTGTCCTGGGTATGTTACTACTTTTCCAAGTCTTTCCTCCTTCAAAACTGACAGCCCTACAGGAGGCCCTGGCGTAGGGAAGGGAACGCAATGTGCTCGAATTACTCAGGGCACATCCTCTGTGCACATTTCAGTGGGTGATCTCCTTCGTGAAGAAACAAAGTCTACCTCGTCTGGGTTCGCCGACTTTATCAAGGACAGCATCAGAAACTCAGTCATCATTCCGGCAGATTTTTCAGTACGTCTAATACAAAAGCGAATTGAAGAATCTCAAATGGAAAAAGGTTCCATTGTTATTTTGGATGGATTTCCGAGGAGCTTAGACCAGGCCCGTACTTTTGAGGAAAAGGTTGTCAGTTTCGATACGACATCAAACTCCTACTTACTGTCAATTATAGATCCGAGGAAGATTCTTTACCATACTTCTGAAATGCTCAGAAGAAGTTCAGCTATATCGCTTAAACCGACGCTCGGAGTCATCTGGCCGGATTGACGATAATGACGACTCCATAAAGAAACGTTTACGAACATTCTCTCAGGAGAACTTGAAAATTGAAAAGTATCTTCAAAGCAAGGGTCCATTTTGGACGGTATGTAACCTGCAGATAGAGTATTCGCCAGGCTAACTAGCAAAAGATCGATGCTAATGGTTCTGTCGACGACGTGTACGCTTCTATCAAGGTTGTTGTGGACGAGATCACGAAAGTTGCAAGTCAATAAAATGAGAACCACTGTTGCGCACAAACAATGCGGTGCCATGTCGGTCTTTCCTCTTTACGGCCGGAAATTTTATTCCGATCTGTTGACGACATATACGCTTCTGTCAATGCTGTTCTTGGAGGAATAATTCGCGATGCGGTTGCGTTGACCATCTCGTACTGAACTCGGACAGCTATCCGATCAATATGATGCTTACTAGACCCATCAGTGCCGTTGCCCTACTTTTGTACTTTGCACCATCCAGGCCGCAGCGGCGCCCGGTGACAATGGGCATCTATTGGATTTGCGGCAAAATGTGATAAACTTGCCGCAGTAGAGTCTTCAACCAAACCTTCCAGGACTGGCCGGAGTGCCACGCGGGGGCTTTAGTTCCACAGCCTGTCCGTTGGCACCCGCAGTCCAGGTCTTAGCAAGCCGCTCTGCCACACGGACAGCCTCTGTTGAATTCGCCGCTTTTCCGGCTTGTTCGAGACGCGTCGCGAATTGCAAGGTCCAATACCGGCATCCGTTGCCGTCGGCATCGAAGGTATATTTGTCAAGGCCGTTGGTCCTGATAAGATTTAGGATATCCTTAACCGTCAGACCTTGAATAGGGTTCAGAGTAACATAGAACAAGCCGTGGTCCGTTACAGTATATTGCTTTAGTGTGACTTCGAGTCGAAGTTTGTTCGTCATTGGAGCGGGGCCCGGGTTGACGTGGAGTGATTGCGAAGGACTGATCTGGAGGAAAAAGGCCCAATGATTGGTGTACTTAGTGGGCGGGTCATCGATATCATGTGGGGGATAGCACACGAAGTAGATCTTTTGTACCACGGCATTTACATGAGCCTGCTGAAGTTGGGGAGGTGTCCATATAATGCCGGCAGGGGTCGAGGCCTGTTTTGGAGGCATGCTGAAAGCTTCGGCGCCGGGACCCGAGGAGTAAACAACAGTCGACAGGATGAAGCGGAGGATTGGATTGGTAAGAGAGCCCTAAAGAGATAGACGACCTGATAGTGTGGTCCAGAGGGTGTTGTATCTGCCATGAGAATGGGAAGGCGAGGCATATATACCTTGCGGCTCATCGCAACGGAGCCTTTGTGCCATGACATGGTATCAGCTCGGAAGCCTGGTAGAGCGATAACCCCTGCTGTTTGACATTCGAAGCACGAGACGCGGTCTGTTGGGCGGTAAATGCAGCAGGGCTTAGCGGGCACGAATTGTAGATATGCATCCCGCTGGTTTCAATGTAGGCGGAGTCAGTGCTAGTCCCCCTTAGCCTATTCTCGACTTGTGCATTCGTGTTGGCAATATCAATGTGACCCTCATATCGTCCACGTCATTTTCTGAGAGCATAACCAATTGCGTTGAATTTGGCATTCATTCTCCGGGCCTCCGACGTCTCCATCGAATCAACCACGGTTTGAAGGAATTTAGCCCCTGCTCTGCTCTTTATGCCTATCGGCATGAATTCTGCGTAGCCCTTTAAGCAGATATACTCGAAGAACTCTGGATAAAATCCCGCACAGTCCCAGTCTATCAACCAGAGCTTGCCCGAGTCGTCGACTAGAAGATTGGAAAGATGAACGTCCATATGACACATAACCAAATCTTTAATGTCTTCGTCGAAGCGTTGCTGCTTGCTTGCCCTGCCAAAAAAGTGACATAGCTTTAAACACTCATTGAACCAGTCAATGAGATCTTGAAGGGAGTAAAACGGGCCTGCACCGTTAGTTGTGAAGAGTCGTGGTGCCGTTGCACGACCGCCATCCACTGGGCCCGGTATTGTGTGATGAATTGTGTGGAGTGTGTTGAGTATGCGTGTCAGCTGGTCAGCGAGATCCCGGGTTTGCTCTTCGTCCAAATCCTCGATTGTCTGAGCTAGGACTTTTCCAGGTATATATTGCATCACAATATATACAGACTCTTTAACTTGACGGTCTGTATACAGTTGGGAAGTCCAACAATCATAAACCTCAGGCACAGATATCTGGATTTGTTTTTGGACTTTCATCATAGTTCGACCTTCACTCAGGGAAATCTGAGTACCGTATTTGACGACAAGACGGTTCGAGATGCGAGCAACAGCCTTTGCAGGAAAAATTCCATCATCCGGCAAGTCTCCACCGGTCTGAAAGAGCTTCGGGGCGTACGCGACCGCGGATTCGATTTGGTCTCGCGTCATACACTGTGGCGCTAGATCGTCGAGGGGGAATGGTCCTGTGAAAGCCAAAGGGTCGGGTGATAACAGTTCCATCATTCTGCTCGGTTGAAGATGAAAATAGTTGCTAATTAAAGGTTTAGAAAGAACTGAACTACCTGTGAGGAATTTGCTTCCGAGTTAGGGCCTAATGCCAAGAACGACGATACTGTATACAGTATTGTCCGTACGCTATCACGTGCGGATTAGTGAAGGCACGTGGCGGCCATCGCTGGTCGGCATCGCTGTGTTGGAGAGCTCATTCCGTGCCCTCTATAGATTGATGCCTATATTGGCTACTTCTACAGTATCCTGGGAGTGTGGTCATCGGTTGAGATAATTTGTTAAAACAAGAGTGTGATTCGGCTTTCCAATTGTTCTGTTGCGTGCAGAAGCAGCACCGTCCCTTAGCATTCTCATCGGCCGTAGCGTAGTTGCACATATTATAAATGGTCTCGATATTCGTTTCAGCCTGTGGCCTTCCATATCCTTGAGAGCCTCATGATGCAGCTGAATCAGGAAATACGCGTGTATTCTTAAATTTTATCCACGCTCTGATGGCCCTTGAACCTTGGACGGTCTGAATCGATAATTCCTTCTCAGTCATTGTGCCGGATCTATTACCGGCTCTCATATCAGTTCCGGCGATGTACCAAGCGTTAATTCTATCATCGCAGTCTCGTGAGATCGACCGCTCATTCTTAAACGCACGTATTCATCCGATACTGCGTCAGAGATATGCCGCGGCGGTGGCTCCCGATCAAGGATTGTCCCGAGGAATTGTCGGAGATAACCAAAACCTTCTCCCATGGATTGGAGCTGACTTGCCAAAGCAAACAACATTCGTTCAGCAACTCTTCCGCTGTTTCCGATCGACGTCCCATGTAAAAGTGCGTCGAGGTCAGCTGTATAGTTGGCTGTGATTGGTTGCTCAGAGTAGTCCAGAAAATCAGGATAAAGTCTTCGATAGCTCAATAGTGCAGACATAGTCAAAGTGAGTTGCTCTATTGTTTGATGGCCTTGAAATTCTTCTGCCAGTCGCACATATAGATTCCAACCTTCTTCTGACTTTGCCCAGTTCGCGAGAACTTTGAGTGGACCGTTGTGACCATCTTCACTCCACTGAGAGACGGAAGTGCTCCAGGTAAAAAGAAGGAGAGTGTTATTTGCTGGCTTGTTCAGTGATGGAAGATTTTGATAAGTATCTATCCTGTTCGCGGTTACAAGTGCGGTGTATGCGTCTGAGATAAAGACTTACAGGCTTGTTTCGAACATTTTGATCTGACCAACACCAAATCCGCTCAATATTTGTGACGGAAGATTCTATATTCGTTAGACTGGCGATAAGCGACGTGCCGTGATCCTACCAAGTGTCCTGGAGGAAATCCGATTTGGAGAGAACTATTCATCATCGCTGCCCATTGTCCCAGACCTTCGGCACTCAGTTTCTCCCCAACGAAAATAGGAGACTTTGAGAGGGAACTGGAAATCTCTCCTACATCGAATTCTCCGAATTTTTTGATGTCGCTGATGTCAAAAATCCTAGCACAGAGCTGACTGTTTTGCTTTGCTGTGTAGTTTTCTGCGAAATTATGCTGGAGGAAGTCGACTCTCCCACTGGATAGCTCTAGCAGAGCCCGGAAAAGTGATGTTATCTGGCATTCGTCACGATTGAAAGCTATTAGAGGTTTCAGTCCAAACTTGAGACTGTCAATTAGCTCCTCCTCGTTGCTTGTGAGGAAAATTTGGGCATCTGCAGACATATGGTCTGCTTCTAGATTCAGAAACAAGAATACAAGATTTCTTGCCAATTCTCGGCGGACGGAAGCCACAGAGTCCTGTTAGATACATCAGAGAACGCTCCGAAGACTGGGAACGAACACTTACCGATATATCCTGGATTAGTATCATTCTGTCCAGTTCTCTCTGCAAACATAGGAGCTGAGTAAGATTGCGATAGGCTTCCTTGATTTCGTGGCGACGCTCGGAGAAGATTACATCGACAGCCCGTTGGAGCCAGCGCTCGCGAGCTTTCCTGTTCGCTCGACAGATACCAAGAATGGCTTTCTCAACCTCTCTCGGGTGTGTAGGATTGTAAGGAGGATTTGCCTGCGATTGAAGCTCCTGGACCTCGGCCAGGTAAGATGGATCGACAGCCACTTCGAAAGCTTTGCCATTGTCATCACATTCCTGAACAATGCAGATTCTTGAGTTGGACTCTTCCGCAAGCCGTTGAAGATCAATTGTCTCTGCTGGCACGCAGATGAGTTTCCAATGGGTAGGTGTGGGTGCCTGGGAAGTGAGCAATAATAGTTTGCTGGAGATTGGAGCAAGGTATCTTACCATGCCTGATTTGAAAAGCGGTTAAGCTTAGGGAGCAGGTAGAAGCGGCTTCCAGCCTCGCAAAATAATGGAGATGTGTGAAGCTAGGTAAGTAGTTAGCGCCGACCACAGAATGTCATACAAACTGGGCGCTCATCGACAGACATATATCTATTGCACACTATTCGAAATAATCATTAGGTGCAGCACGGACTAGCACATGTCATCTGAGCGAAAGCATGCCGTTCAGGTAGGACCGCACGCCGAATACTGCGGTAGACTAGTGATAGTTTGCCGCGTGGCCAATTAGGGAAGTATGCGACCAACATTAAACAACACATCTACGAAACTTGATGTCAATAATCTTCAACCTGTAATATAGTCGAGACGCGAGTTCCTTTCGGACTAAGTCACTACGAATATGTCAAGAGGCAAAATAGCTCCCTCTCACTGGTCGTGAAGCTGTTGTCTGCGCAAGACATGCTAGTATATTATCGGCAGCCTCCTGTCTCATCGAATAGCCTAAGATGCTTTTCAGCCCCGTGGTTTCCATCCTTCTGATTGCTACTTTCCTCATTTCTTCACGATATCTCTTGTTATTTCTTTTACTGCTAGCAAATCCGTTTATTAAACTGTACTCCTGCAAACTGGCCCAATAAAATGGAGATCCCGCGAAGCGTCCTTCAGCGAATGCCTTCAGACTTGTTGGACATCGTTCACAAGCATAATCGCATGGCTGATGTTCCCATTCATGAACGAGATCCTGCCAATATTGAGACCGAGGTAATCCCAGCAGGACCTTTTGAGATGAAAGTGTACTTCCCTCCTATTCGGCGGGAGAAAACCGTGGTCTTTGTCCATTTTCCCGGAGGCAAGTCCGAGAAGCTGCTTCATCGCAACATCATTAACTTTAACAGGTATTTGCAAGAATGACATAGACAAAGACCAAAGCTGGTGTTCAAACATGGCAAAAGGTTTGGACATGGCACCTTTAAGCGTGCAATTTCTAAGCTTTGAGTCCAGAGTCCGAATCTATCTATGTCGGCGTCAACTATCCATCAGCCTTGGAAACCAACTATCGACAGATCTTTACCGATTGCCAATATGCGCTCACCCTCATACGCTCTCTTTGTTCAGGCAGCTGGAAGGATACATGGAAAACCAATCCCGCCAGGGTTGCCCTATCCGGTTCTTCTATGTTAGTCGTTCAAAAGAGGATTGACGACAAGGCTAATTCATCCCAGAGGTGCAGCTCTCGCTTTCGGTGTAGCAGCTGTCGCTGCTCTCAACGGACAACCAGTCCTCGGAATAATCGCCGTAGTTCCTGTCGTGCAGACGCATCCTAATCATGACAAACCATGGGGTGAAAATGAGTGCACTCCTGGGCTGACACCTGAAAGGCTACTTAACGACTTGGAAATGGCGTTCAACGGGGTCGAAGCTAACTTTCGTGATCATTGGCATAGTGACCCTTGGAAGATGCCAGATGAGGTCCTCCGAAAACTGCCGAGAATCATCATGGTGTCTGCAAAATTTGACATTTTGCATGACTCTCAGGTAGAGTTCAGGAATCGTATAGATGCCCTGGGTATGAAGGTGGAATGGAAAGCAGCGGATGGATTGCATCAAGTAAAAGACATGTATCAAACACAGGCAGGCCGAGAGGTGACGGAGTATGTCACGCAAAAGACGATTGAGATGGTGACAAGAGCCCAATCACCCTCACTGGACCGCCAGGATGCCATGGTTGGCTTGACAGAAATGGTAAGCGTTGCGTCCGAGTGGTAGATATGGGAAACCTTTTGTTACAAAGAACACAAAAGCTAGCAGAAGTATAGTGGCCAGATGTCTACCCTTATGAGCTCTGGCGCACTGACTTTTGTCTCCAGTTCCATGAATTCGCCAAGGTCTTTCACCAATTGCGAGCGTTCTTCATATACCACAGCCTGATGCATACACTCTAGAGCATCGACACTGCGGACCAACTGCGCTGCTTTGCCATCACCAGCTTCAAAAGTTTGTGAGTGTTTGGCTCTCTTGGTGAAGAATACTCGTCCGGGCGACGATTTCTTCCTACTTACAGGTAGATGAGCGAGTATTTCTATCTTGCGTGAGTGGTGAGCGTTATAGCAGCTCATCTCTTTGTTATTGTCTCTTGATCATCGTCTCTTCGAATCCTCTTCGCTTCGCTTTCATATGGCGCCTCGTAGAGTAAGAAATGATAGACACAGTGCCTCTCGAGTATCTTTCCGGCACTTCGTGAGATAATATGATGACAGGCTTTCTTGGATCATAGGCACACTTACGGGAGGCTGTGCCTCCCAGAGAGCATCCCTGCTGAAGATCAGGTATATCACGGCTTAGCAGCCTGCGTCCTAGGCGTAATGTTGCCGTTACAACACTTATTATTGCGACTGAGATTCCAAGTATGCAAAGAAGCAAAGTAAGATATGGAGACGCCATGAAGCTGAGCTTCAATCTGTAAAAGGCCGCTGGCTCTGGGCTTAAATCTGTCTCGGCCAGGTGGCGTTTTATTCCTGAAGTCAAGAGATTGGAAACGCATAACCGGTGTAGAGGTCGGCAGACAGGTCTTCCGATAAACACTGACATTTCAGCCTCATAGCGACCGGTGTAGGATGGAACAAGGGTGCCTGGCGAATCTAAATCACTGCATGATAGTTTCTAACTAGGGCTTGTTTGGCTTGCGCCCTATTTTGTCATAGCAGAACGGACGGCAGATTTCGCGATGAGATTCTTTCGTCCGGTTGCGACCCTTCTTGTCAGCCTGTGGCACCTCGTGCGCCCTGCGGATGAGTTGAACTTACACGGACCTCTCCCCCAATCCCTGGACTTGATGCCTTAATGTTTTGTCCTTGTCCGTTTGCCTTTTGCCAAACCATCCCTTGCGCTCTAACTTATGAGGCCGGAGAGGCAAGATTTACGGCGGTTGATCCTGCCACTTTTGCTTGTCTTTGTGGACTTTTCTTGCACGCATCCGTCGAGCTCTCCTTCGACTTTGAAACAGCCATGTATAGGACCTCACTCTATTCTAGTTGCTCTAACTGAATTAAACGTGAAGCCAAGTGAAGCGTTGCTTGAGAGTCGAATCTAACCCAGACCACCTTCAACAGACTTTTCGTGCTCAATGGGAACGACCAACCCTTCCCACTTAGGAGCACGAGATCAACTGGGAGCTCGTACGTTGGGCAATACAGCTGACTGTTTAAGACAATCGAAAAGCGACAATATCCAGGATGAATTTAAGGTATCCCATCCCTCGAGCTTCTGTGGTCATTGCTGATCATACAAGACTTCAAGTCTGACCTTATTTCTCTGTTCTTTCTCGCGACTCTATGCACGCATCCAACAGATGGAGCCTACCTCGGATACTCAGTCACACAATGCCATCTCCATCAGACTCCAAGATTTGAAAAAGGCATACACTGAGGCTTTTCCGGATATCTATGCGATTGCTGCCCAGAACGTTGATGGAGTCTCATACATGGACTCGCTAGGCCACTTAATAGGTGTCGTGGACAATCTAGCAATGGCGTCTCAGGCAATGCTCCATAGAGATTACGACAAAGGGTCAATTTTCTTCTATGACCTTATCGACGAAGCGGAGTTGATATTTCAAAAAGCCAATCTAACCATCTTACGCCTTTTCGAGCTACGAATGAAGAAGCCCACAGTTCCACACAAAAAACCTGACTTCTCCAGGAGGTTTGAAGCCTGCCGACTCATCTTGTCTATGTGGATGGTGCTCGCCGCTGATGAAAATTGCGATGGCGATGGGATCTACCGTTTTAGCACCGGTGTCCATAGTGAATCAGACCAATGTCTGGGAGTTCTGTGCATCGCGAATTCGGAAATTCTATATTTGAGAGATCAAATCAGTCAATGACACTGAATGGCAACAGCACGACCGAGGTCACAATGCTAGTCCCCACGGGCGTAGCCCGCGCTGAAGCTTTCCTATACAACGGCTCGTTCGCTATCTTAAATGCCCTCCCAGAATCCCACCTCCGCGAGTTACTCCTTGCCTCCTGACCAGATCAATAATTCCGTTCGATTTTGCCACTAGCTCTCGTTCCACCCCTGTCGTCGTATTCCCATGTCCACTCAGCAATAGATGGACGCACAGGCTGCCGGTCTAGGAGCCGACAAAGGCACCTGATTGGCAACGCCGTCGTCCTCGGCAGTGGAGCTCCATAAGGTGTCAAGGTCCGGTAACACATGGCAGCAGCGAAATTGATTGACTAGCTGCAAATTCTGCGTAATCGATGATGGATCGTTGAGGATGTTACTTAGGGGCGTGAGGACGTTGGGTGCGAACCCAGTGAATAAGTCGTCTGCGGCGGTCTGCGCAACCGTGCTGGGACTCACATCTGACGCACACGCGAGAATTTGTAATTGGTCGGGCTCGTCGTTAGCAGCTCTGAGGGCGACTATAAGAAGGTTCAGTTGTATTAGCTTCATGTCGAACCTGTAGTTTTCGATTAAGAAGTAGTAAAATACTGTGAAAAATAGTAGAAAATAGGAAGTACGGAGAGGAATTGCTAATACTAACCTACGAGCTGTAATTGTAAATGAATCCCTTGCAGAGAAGTCGCGATATCGAGAAAATCATTGACGGTGGTGACATCACTGTTCCACTGATTAATTGCACCTGCGATGGCGGCCTGGCTCGGGACGCCGTCCGCACAACCGTTGGGAGAGTCGCGCTTTGCGAATCGCAGAGAGGGAGTAGCGGCAGAAGCACCGATGAGGCCAAGAGCCAGGAAAGATAAGGTAGCGACCATCTTCATCGAGTATTGTACAAGGGATATAGAGTAAGAGAACTCGTCAACCTATTGAACATGGAAATTGTTGTGCGGTAGAAGCGATAATGGAAGCGAGAAGAATCAAAGGTCTTATACCTTGAAACTTCTTATAATATTATGTCGGTCCCTTTTACAGTACAGCACTTAATCGAATCGGAATTTGATGTACTGGGCGCAGGCTTTCACATATGGATTTGCCCATATTTGGGGGACTAAAATGGACCCCTTTGGGACCAAAAGTGGACCCGTTTGGGACCCGAAAAAACACCCCAAGGCTGCCCGAAAGGGAGGCACACTGCCCATAACCAGTGTGACAAGATCGAATTTGGGCAGTGGCGAAGATACATGCTTGACCCGTGATGGCTCCGTGAAATGCCCATCCCTTGATACTGTTTGCAATCTTTTACGGACCGTTGCCTCAACTCAAAGCTACCGCATACTTGCGTCCCTCAACAAATGGTTCTTTCATCTCGTGAAAGGTCGCCTCAACTTCCTCGACAAAGTCCCTCCATGGTCCAATGTCGCCAAAGGTTTCCAAACGGCTTTTCAACATTTCTCTTTCCTCAACACATGTCCTCGCATTGTTGAAGAATATCTTGCCTCGGCCAGTTTCTTTCCAGTTCCATCCGGGTTTCATATTCCACATCTTGTCAAAAACTTGTTTCTCTAGAGAGGTTCTTTGTGGGGGAGTCTGTCGCATTGGGAAGCTAAACGGCTGTCGAGCTCGCTCTTGCCGGGCAACCATTTTTCCCTTTCCCTTCCTTTTCTGGTGGCGCCATCCTGCAGTACAGTACATGAGTAGATGAACTAAATGGAGCGCGTTTCGATTTACATACCTCTCCAAATCAATGACAGTAGTCGACAGAGGGGAAGTTTATTGATAATTTCCATAAATTCTACGAATAGATTCTCTACCGTCGACACGCTGCACTTACTTCAGAGACTGAATAGAGCCAACATCGAGCTCAGCAGGCTCAAGCGCACTTCCTTATGTTTGTTGAACGAGCATTCGGCCCAACTTTCGTCCCAAAATGGCTCTCAGAACCCTTTTTGGCACCAATAAACTATTCGGCCATGGACGAATTGATCCCCGCCGATCAGATCCTTTTCACTGGGTCTGCTGGACAAGAGATCGAGTATATGCGTATCCGTCACGAACCTACTTTGACGAACTTACCGTTGCTTCCAGTCCTCCACCCGATTCGAGTAGGTGGACAGGTAGCAGAAGATTCGGACACGAGGCTGGGAAGATAGGAGACTTCCGGCTACAGCCGTATTACACACGTGATGAAAAGGGGAAGCCATAAGAAGTTTCTCCCACCCGAAACGGGTGAGAACTGGCTCTTCTTCTTTCTCAGGCATCAAGTCGTCGTCAATACGACGTACGCTAGATACAGTACAAACAATCCCAGTTACTCCAGTCCTCAGTGCCATTGTGCCAATTTGCGGCGACGGTCCTGATAGTATCCGCCAAAGGTCTTGCTGCTCTAGTCTTTGTTAAGACACCACCACCGTCTCTGCTCACGCAGCCATCATTCAATCAGGTCAACTGGGGCACTCGAGCGCATCCTTGCATCGAGTCTGAGAGGTCTAGATCGACGACAGTCTCTTCGCAGAGCTGTTGCCTGCCTGTCTCAACTTCATTCCACTCCGGTTACCTGTCTCGGCGCGTCACGCAAGACTCAAGCCGGCCTTAATATTTTGTTCCTCCCACGCTCTTTCTTTCTCCCTTTTACTCCCCTCACATTCAAAGATTGCGCGACGCTCTTCCATTCCTGCCAACATGTCCTTTGGCAGTGGGGGTTTTTCTTTCGGTGGCAACACGAATAATCAAAGTACTTTTGGTGGCTTTGGCAACAACAACAATACCAACGCAGGTAAGTCAACTCGGTTTATTTTCACTTGGCCTCGCCAGAGCTTGACATGCGATGCAGTGCCAGCCTTTGGCTCGAACACAGGGAATGCTGGCTTCGGAAGCAGCACGACCAACTCGAATCCTTTCGGAGGAAGTACGTTCGGATCCAACACCGGAGGTGCGTGACAAGATTCACAGTACTACACTTCACTGCATAGTCACTGCCTACACAGGCAGCGCAACCCAAACAACCGTCATTCCTTTTAGCCATATCTTTTCTTCTTGCGATGTCTGCAGCTTCTCGATTCCTACCATCACACTCTTTCCAGCCTGCCCATCATGTCTTCGAATATCTATCCCGTCTTCGAACGTCGGCGACTGCAGCCGACTAGCCTTCGCTCGCGCACAACTTCGCTTCCTTCTCTATCGCTTCCAGCTATTGCAGAGACGGACATGGAAGGGCTAACGCAAACTGATGAAACAGGTTTCGGAAACACCTCAAACACCTCCGGCTCCCTCTTTGGCAATAAGCCAGCCTCGAATCCCTTCGGTGCCAGCACCACAAACACGGGAACAGGTCTCTTCGGAAACTCCACAAACACCAATACCGGTGGGTTTGCGAGTTCAACAGGTGGATTTGGGGGCAATGCCAATCCCAGTGCATTTGGAAGTAACAACAACAATACCACTTCTTCCTTCAGTTTCGGAAACAACGCCAATAAGCCGGCATTTGGGAACACCACCAGTTCTACACCCCTCTTTGGTCAAGGTGGTTCTGGGACAACAGGTGGTTTCGGCGGCACAAATGCCTTTGGTTCCGGGACCGCTCTGAGCAACCAGCCAGTCCCTCCTTCAGAAGGAACTGCGGCAACACCGTTTGTTCCCACTGTCGAGAAGGATGGGACTGGCCCCACCAGCAGCGCCTACCAGAGCATTATCTTCCAGGCACCATACCAAAAGTATTCTTTCGACGAGCTCCGCCTCGCCGACTACAACGCTGGACGCCGCTTCGGCAACAACACGGGACAAGCTGGTGGCTTCGGCAACAGCACTTTCGGTGGTGGCTTTGGCGCAGGCAATACCAATTCTGGGGCGTTTGGTGGTAGCAGCAACGGCAATCCTTTCGGCGGCGGCACAACCACATCTTCCACAGGCTTTGGATCCAATACCGCGACAGCTGGATTTGGCGGTGGTGGATTGTTCGGAAACAAGCCAGCAGGAGGAGGACTGTTCAATACACCATCGACAGGCACCTCGTCTGGTGGACTCTTTGGAACCTCCAACAATACCACGACTAACACCGGCTTCGGGTCCGGCAACAGTTTGTTTGGCAATAACAACCAGAACCAAAACAAGCCTAGCCCATTCGGTGGCAATACCACCACACCGTCCTTCTCGTTCGGCAACACCAATACCAACGCCGCGAATACCGGCCCTGGACTGTTCGGTAGCAACAATAACCAGAACAACCAACCCAACAGCAATCCTTTCGGCGGGAATCAGCAGCAGGGTGGTGGATTGTTCGGGAACAACAACAACACTCAGCAGAAGCCGCTCTTCGGCACTTCTACTGGAGGCTTTGGTACGTCAACAACTCCGAATCAACCTGGAGGGGGATTGTTCAGCAACACCAACACAGGGAATTCTGGCGGTGGTCTATTTGCCAATAACAACAACAACCAGCAAAACAACAATACTGGCGGTGGCTTGTTCACATCTAGCACGAACACCGGCGGTTCACTGTTCGGGAACAACAACGCGAATAACGCCCAGAAGCCTGGTGGACTTTTCAGTGGCTCGTTTGGAAATACGAACCCTCCCAACGCTGGTGGTGGCCTTTTTGGCAATGCCGCCTCGAATAACCAACAGTCTGGTGGCCTCTTTAATACTACAAACACCAATACCGGTTCTGGATTTTCCTTTGGGAATTCTGCGAACAAGCCTGCCTCGACCGGTCTATTCGGCAATACTAGTACTAACCAGCAAGGAGGATTATTTGGTACGAGTGGTGGTTTTTCAGGCCTCGGAAATTCACAAAACAACCAGCAAAATCCTCAACAGCAAGCGGACTTTAGAGTTTCATCTTTGAATGACCCCAATCCCTATGGGCAGACTTCAATTTGGACTGGACTACCTGTACCTACCCCTGACAACTCCAAACCTATCTTCACTCCACTGTCAGCCACCCAGAAGTTGAAGGAGAGCCAATCAAAGCCTCCACCAAGCCTTCGACTCAACCAGTCTCGCTACATGACTCCTCCACGTCGAGCTGGCTTTGGATTTTCTTATTCCACATATGGCACACCCAACAGTGCAGCTAGCACCCCAGGTGGCGGTAGCTTGAGCAGCAGCATGTATGGCAGTCGAAGCTTCAACGGCGGCAGCTTCGGACGATCATTTGGCAAGAGCGCTTCCGTCAGCAATCTGAGGTCCCAATTCAGCGGCGGCGACAGCGATACCGTGCTGAGCCCCAATGCTTTCAATCCTTCTCACACTCGCTGGTCCGGAGGCAACATGCGTCGCTTGACTATCGATCGAAGCATTCGCAACGACCTCTTCAGCCGTCCATCCTTACCTGCATTGCCCCAGCCAAGTACCGCCGACCAAGCCGCCAATGGCAATGCTCAATCTAGAGCTTCCAACGCAGAGGCATCTGCCGAACCAACCAAGCTGAGGAAGCGTGTTAGCTTTGACAAGGACACGACTGGCGGTCAGAACGGCACCTTGAACGGCGAAACTGGCGCTTTGGTCAGAACGGAGTCTGATGATGACACACCGGAACCTGAGCCTCGCGGCAGAGCTGTGAATGGAAGTGCGACGCCAGACGCCCCATCGGCCAGGGGCAATGAACTCGCCGTGGTACCTGAGGATCGTGCCTCGGATCACATTAGTCCGAAGAAGGCAACTGTGGAGGCCAAGCCTGATCCTCAACCAGGAGATTACTGGATGAAGCCTACACGCGCCGAACTCAGCAAACTGCCTCGTGAGAAGCTCCAGAAATTCAGCGGATTCGAGGTTGGCCGGAAAGGTTGTGGTCACGTGGTTTTCAACGGGCCAGTCGATCTTACTGCGTTGCCACTGGATGATCTATACGAGAAGATAGTCGAGATTCGACTCCGCTCTGTCACGGTCTACCCAGATGCCAGCTCAAAGCCACCAGTTGGCAAGGGTCTCAATGTCCCATCGACAATTTCCATTGAGAACTCGTGGCCTCGTGCTCGAGGCCAGCCATCATCTGCCACTAGTGGACCCATCTTCGAGAAGCATGTCAATCGCCTCAAGAAGATGCATGGCACTGAATTCATCAACTATGATGTGACAACGGGGATCTGGACATTTACGGTCCCTCATTACACTCGCTATGGCTTGGACTATGATGAAGATGATCTCACCCAGAGCCAACTTTCCGCTCCACCTGAATCTCTTAGCGGTTCGCAATCTGGAGACGCTTCCACAATGGAAGTCGATAGTGAAGAGCACGACGACTATGACGACGACGATGATGACACCTTTGCTTTCAAACAAAAAACTGTTCCGGGAGGATATGGCAGACGTTCTGTTGTTGACGATTACGACACAGGTGCTCCAACAGCTGAGGAACTTGAGAATGGTCCGGAATCTGACCTTGAAGAGTCCGAGGATGATAATCCTGACAACGAGGTCAGCATGGCCGGCTCGTTTCCACCTCCTGCAACTCTCCAGAGCCCGAGCAGACCCATACTGAAAGCCAGCCGCTTGGCAACTCCTGGCAAGGCCCTCATCACCCTTGAGGGCGACTGGGCGGAGCAACTTCAACGAACAATCAGCCCTCGCAAGCAGAACCGTGAGGCTTTGCGCGACGTTCAAAGCAAAGTTTTACTCGACCACGCATACGAACCGATCAAACCAAGAACGCTCAATAAGAATGAATTTCGGACCAGCATTGACATCATGAATTCATTGTTCAGCAAGCACGAAGAGAGAATGGCAAAGGGTAGGAAAGGACATGCAGGACCGGACTTTGAGGTTTGAATTTCCCCTTTCTCCCCAAAATTCCTTACCCAAACTGCTTGAACCCTGCGCGGCATGTTGGATGGATTACGACTATGAAGGCAGGCTATTGCCGAGATTGTGACGAGTCCCAGGGTTCAATTATGGTTCCACATAGTATGTAGGTAGTTTATTGAATGAAACAAATTGCTAAGCCATGTTTTGTTTCTAGTTTCCTTACGCCAAACGCGCAAAGACCTTTGACGGCGATTCCGAGCTGACCGAAAATGACAAATTATGGCATGCCTCTTTCAAGCCTCACTTCACTGCGACGAACGGGCTTGTTTACAAGTCGAATGGCGAAAGTGAATCCGAAGCTGGCTGGAGTACCGAAGTGCTGGTGGAGAGTCACAGCAGGAATGTGGCATTGACTTCACTTCAAGGTAGCTCGGCTACCGTCAGTCGCCCTTTCCTGTGATTTTCTTCATTTCTAACATATGCACAGGCCACTATGGACACCAGACCCCCCTTAATCGATGCTCAGGTTGTTGTCCTCGACGACGTACCCTTCATCAAACATAACGCTGTGCCTTTTTCTCAGGCAAAAGATCAGCTAGTCCAGCAACACGCCAGCCAAGCCGAACTCGATGTGTACGAGCTTGCGCATGTCCTCTTCGATGAATATGAAGATGAGTTCTCTTTCGGCCTCACCCGCGAACAGAAACGCGAGTTCCTAGGCAACATCCGCAGGGATCGACTCTCGAAATACATATCTGCTCTAGTCTGGCGCCGTCACGGAGACCACATCAAGGCAGCTGAGAAGTTGGATGCGGCGACCGCCGCGATTCTATACCTCACAGCGAAGAATATCAAAGCTGCATGCGATGTGTTGATGAGAGAGAAGGATTTCTACCTCACACTTCTGGTTGCACAGATTGGATCGGCTGATGACACGGTTCAACAAGACATTGCCGACCAGCTCAGCGCATGGCGCGAGCAAGGCGTCATCTCTGAGATGAGTGAGGAGATTCGAGCTTTGTATGAGATCATCGCAGGTAACACAGGTGTCTGCCAGGGCAAGCAGAATGTGCCTGTTGAAAATCGCGCCTCTACATTCTCCATCTCAGAGAAATTCGAGCTTGACTGGATGCAGGCCTTCGCTTTATCCTTGTGGTACGGACGACAGAAGACTGGTGACATTGAAGATGCTGTGAAAG